AGGCTGGAGGCTGGTAATCTTACTACGTGGATCATTAACAATAGACTTAAACAGATGTTCTGTTAAATTTTCCTGGTGGGCCCTGATGGACTCGAGCCCTGCTAACTGAAGGGCGTCCGAGTAGTGCACCCTGACCGCGTTTTGACCGTAGTCAAACTTTAAACACATTTCGAGACAATTTTTGAACGGTTAGAATACTCTTTGGAATCGAAAACCGTGGTAAGTAGTACATATTTATATATTTTCATCAGTTTTCATTTATTTCAGGGTTGCTGGTTTTGCTAACATAATTCCTCTAAACGTGCGGAAAGCTGAGTTTCTTTTACTATCCATCAAAAGACTCCAACCCACCTTTGCTGCTGCTGTGGCTGCATTCCAGGTTGAACCTGAAGGCCTCTTTGCTGTGGACCCTGCTGGAAGAATGCTTGCTGCTGCTGTTGCTGTTGAGGGTTCTGACTGGGGAGCATCATTCCAGCCGATTGGTTCTGAAAGTACTGCTGTTGTTGTTGCTGCTGTTGCTGCGGCTGTTGTTGTTGTTGTTGTTGTTGTAGCAGATACTTCTTTTGCATGGCCCCTTGACCAGGAGGTTTCGTTGCGCGTTTCGTTCGCTTCAAGGGCTTCCTAATTTTGCCTCCGTCTGACATAGCCATTTGGTTCGCTGGGAGGCTTTGCGGTACGTTGAGGGCTGTAGGGACGTTCAGGCCTGGAGCTACTGATGCAGTTATCAAAGGTATTTGACCTAAATAAAGAAAAGAGAGAACAAATGTGAAAAATTTACCTAAACACTGACTGTTGATGAAAGGATAAAAACCTATAGTTCGAAACTAATGCTAAATATGGGGATATATCAAAGCGCTGCTACTTCGCGTGCCATCAATTGCCTAAACGTTTCTTCCGCTGGAGAGTAAAGTCTACATCTTACTTTCATTACTATCAGTGCTTGACCCGTTATCTAAAGAATGAAACGACTTAGTGTTCCCCCGAGATGTCACCCTGTTGTGTACCAAATAAACCCACTGAGTTTCCCTGAAAGTTCCCTGGCGTAACAGAGTCACGTGTTTCTCTTAAGAACACCACACTACTACTCCTACCAAGGTTCGAGCCCAGATATTAAGACGATCTTAAGTCTGGCTCGCTAAACATCCGCCCAAGATGTCTGCTTAGAGATCAAGAAATGGATAATCTTCAAAGACCTAAAATATGACATGTATGGGTCTATTACGTCCTCAGCGACATTTCATTTTGCCTCATAGCAATCTTGTTTTGAACATAATAACACGAACGGGAGCTCCAAAACTGGAAATGTAAAGTCTATCTCACAAGCAAACTTAGCTCTCTTTTTTCAAAAGTCTAAAAAGGCCACATCACCGTTTTCTTCCTGAACCCTTTTCACCTTTATTGTCAGCTGGAGTCTGTGGAGTACTGGGTTGACTTGTCTTGTCCCCTGCTGCCGCATCTAACTCTGTTCTATCTTCCTCTTCGTCTTGCTCGTCCTCCCTATCAGGAGCAGGACTAAGGAAGTAACTGAGGGGACGTCGTCTAGGATGGGTGTGATGTAGAAGTCTTCGAAAATCTTGCTCATACCTCAGAGGTTTTCGCTCAATCCGAACGGCACCAAACCACGCCCACGACAGAGGCGAGGGGTTTTTGTACCCCTCCATAAGTTCCCACGCACTGATTCGTTGTTTGCCAGTTATCTGAAGGCCCTGGTGCAAGTGAGAGAACAAATACCGAAAAAAAAAAAGAAAGAAAAAAAAAAAAACAACAGAAATTAACTGAATTAGTAACACTGAAAAAAAATAGACGATGGGGAATCAGCTTAAAGGAACTTCAACTGTGAAACTGAGCTTAAAAAAGGTCGTAAAGTTTAGGATAATTTTTTAAAGACTGGAAAAATTTAGGAAGCTCTTTGTTGCTTGAAAACAACACATTATGTACATGTACTATGAAGCTGCATGGACTGGATTTCCAAAGTGATAAATTTTAGGATTTTCCAATGAAAATGAGCCCCCCTTGCAGGTACAATTGGATACATAAGCCCAGTTTTTGGTTACATTTCATTGGGTCAAGACGTAAATGGTCAAAAGAGAGTTCAGTCAAGAGATTAAAGTTGCAACCTGGTCGACGTTTACAACGTGCATATGGTGCCTTTTCACTTGTATAATTCATAACGCTGATTTAACTCCCAAGATGCTATTAATAATCAGTCTCAAAATGAAAGGAAATGTCGAATAGGTACCTGGCTGGTGCTTGGTCCTCCTGTGGGAGCTTTCTCCGCAGTCTGCCCAGGATTCGCGGGTGTGTCTTTGACAGGCGAGACAGTGAACACATTGTGTGAGAGGGAAGGGAGGGGAAGGAGCTGTTTACACTGCTGCATGATGTCAATAGGACTTTTCCCTGCAAGTTCTCGCTGAAAATAACCAGTAAATGTAACGTCAATCATTAACTCTAACAAACGAACAAAAAGCAGATAAACAAAACGTCCAAAAGCAAACTATTCCTTTGGCGGGATGTAAAAGAAATGATCTATAAAAGTCCTTATTTGTGCGACAAACTAATTTCCCATCGCAGAGCACGTTACATCCTGAAGGGATAGGACACATTCGCAGCGACAGCACAATGCAAAACTGCTCACTCTGCACTGCTTCCAAACAAGTCACTCGGTAACATTGCGAGAACAAATGGGAGCGAAAATTCTCTTCTTGTTACATAGGGAATGGAGAATGTTTGTGAAAATATCAGTCATACAAATTCAATCTGGTTTGCATTTGGGCGACTGATCGCCCATTAGTTCCCGCACGTGTGGCGAAGACATGTAGGGTATATCGAAAAGGTTTTCGCAGAGAGAAATAATTCAGCTCTTTCTCTGAGCTACATTTATCATAGTGAATACGGTCGAAGCTTTGGTCGAAGTACCCATTCATACCTTGAGTTTCTTGAAGAGAGTAAAAGCCGCTTTGCGGCTTTCTTCAGCAGACTGTCCGTGTGGTGACTCCGTGTTGGACACAACACTGATTAGCACTGACACCATATCCAGTACATTGGTCAATAACTCTCTAAAACGAAGTTGGACACAACACTGATTAGCACTGACACCATATCCAGTACATTGGTCAATAACTCTCTAAAACGAAGTTGGACACAACACTGATTAGCACTGACACCATATCCAGTACATTGGTCAATAACTCTCTAAAACGAAGTTGGACACAACACTGATTAGCACTGACACCATATCCAGTACATTGGTCAATAACTCTCTAAAACGAAGTTGGACACAACACTGATTAGCACTGACACCATATCCAGGACATTGGTCAATAACTCTCTAAAACGAAGTTGGACACAACACTGATTAGCACTGACACCATATCCAGTACATTGGTCAATAACTCTCTAAAACGAAGTTGGACACAACACTGATTAGCACTGACACCATATCCAGTACATTGGTCAATAACTCTCTAAAACGAAGTTGGACACAACACTGATTAGCACTGACACCATATCCAGTACATTGGTCAATAACTCTCTAAAACGAAGTTGGACACAACACTGATTAGCACTGACACCATATCCAGTACATTGGTCAATAACTCTCTAAAACGAAGTTGGACACAACACTGATTAGCACTGACACCATATCCAGTACATTGGTCAATAACTCTCTAAAACGAAGTTGGACACAACACTGATTAGCACTGACACCATATCCAGTACATTGGTCAATAACTCTCTAAAACGAAGTTGGACACAACACTGATTAGCACTGACACCATATCCAGTACATTGGTCAATAACTCTCTAAAACGAAGTTGGACACAACACTGATTAGCACTGACACCATATCCAGTACATTGGTCAATAACTCTCTAAAACGAAGTTGGACACAACACTGATTAGCACTGACACCATATCCAGTACATTGGTCAATAACTCTCTAAAACGAAGTTGGACACAACACTGATTAGCACTGACACCATATCCAGTACATTGGTCAATAACTCTCTAAAACGAAGTTGGACACAACACTGATTAGCACTGACACCATATCCAGTACATTGGTCAATAACTCTCTAAAACGAAGTTGGACACAACACTGATTAGCACTGACACCATATCCAGTACATTGGTCAATAACTCTCTAAAACGAAGTTGGACACAACACTGATTAGCACTGACACCATATCCAGTACATTGGTCAATAACTCTCTAAAACGAAGTTGGACACAACACTGATTAGCACTGACACCATATCCAGTACATTGGTCAATAACTCTCTAAAACGAAGTTGGACACAACACTGATTAGCACTGACACCATATCCAGTACATTGGTCAATAACTCTCTAAAACGAAGTTGGACACAACACTGATTAGCACTGACACCATATCCAGTACATTGGTCAATAACTCTCTAAAACGAAGTTGGACACAACACTGATTAGCACTGACACCATATCCAGTACATTGGTCAATAACTCTCTAAAACGAAGTTGGACACAACACTGATTAGCACTGACACCATATCCAGTACATTGGTCAATAACTCTCTAAAACGAAGTTGGACACAACACTGATTAGCACTGACACCATATCCAGTACATTGGTCAATAACTCTCTAAAACGAAGTTGGACACAACACTGATTAGCACTGACACCATATCCAGTACATTGGTCAATAACTCTCTAAAACGAAGTTGGACACAACACTGATTAGCACTGACACCATATCCAGTACATTGGTCAATAACTCTCTAAAACGAAGTTG